TAGTGCCGGTCAAGGACGACAACATGTTGTCCAAGAATGGATACTCTCGCGAACGGGCGGCCCAAAAGGTGCCCAAATCACGATCTGGGGAGCGAAGACTGAGGGACGGCGTTGGCGCCGCAGAGCGGAGTGGCCGATGGTTGATGGCTCTGGACTTCATCATGAACATCAACAGACTGATCTTCCGAACGTGGGCCACCACTATGCTGAAGATACTTTCCAAGATTGGCTTACGGCACCCGAGGCTCCTTCTTTGGATTGTTCGCCGACCCAAAGCTGCCACCGACTTGAGGAACTCGAATAACAAAGATAGTGCCGGCCGTTCCCAAGCACCTGCAGATCCCGCCGAGTCACCTATGAACATCCCACTGACTGACAGCGTCGATGTCGAATCCGAGTTCCGACAGCAAGTATGGAGGGGAAACCAAGACTGGGCTCCCATGGACGAGGCCGACCTCGATTCGAAGCTGTACGGCTGGTGGCTGAAGGGTGGGTGGTGGGGTTCGGCAGACAATAGCGGGGAGTACCAACCGACGCCAGAGTACGATGACGACGATACGACGAGCGTCGTATCTTTCAGCACTACCGGCGACAGCGATTGGGAGTCGGAAGACACTGGGCAGAGAACGCCCACGCAGTCTAGATCATGGGCTTCGCGCGAGCACACACCATTCATGGAGGATTCATTACAGCTGTCAGATCTGGCACGCCTGCTACACCCTAGCAACCCCGAAGAGAGGGAGGAAGCGCATGCGCTGGCCGCCCATCTGAGTAGCGACAGAATCGTAACCCGATCACAGTATCTCAGGTCACGGCAGCTACAGCGAACACAGATACTGCAGCCAAACGGGCAGTCAAGTCGTGTCACGACGCGGCCGGTCAAGATGACACCAGACGAGGAGGCTCAACGTTTGGAGCAGTTGCTGCTGTCCCGGCGCTCCCAGTTCTCGACTTCGGTAGATCGCGGAACATCGACATGGGCAGAAGGAGCGGCCGGTCTGGGTCCGGACGGTCCGCAGTGTGTCGTCTGCCAGAGTTCTCCCCGGACCATCATAGTCTGGCCCTGCCGATGCTTGAGTCTTTGCGACGATTGCCGAGTGTCACTTGCTATGAACAACTTTGACAAATGTGTGTGCTGTCGTCGGGAGGTCATCAGCTTCAGCAGGATCTACGTGCCCTAGGATTAAGTTGATAATGGCAGGGCGTCTTCGAAGGACGCTTGTACATGCTACGATGGGATATCAGAACACTTGAGAAATTCTGGCGTTTGGGGCGGTTCGTAGCATGGTCGTTTCATTGAGGTACACGGAATAGGGGTATCTTATTGGTATTACACAGGTTATCTAGGCTTAGCGTTGAGCGTCACCTTCATTCAGGCATGTGGCCCAAATCATAGCTCACATTCCTGCCCATTCAACGCAAAATGCGCGCACCTGCTTAGTATCACCGTTCACGTCGGGAACTTCTCCACCAAACAAGAAGCCCTTCTTCACTGAAGTCCCCAGACGACCACTGCCAACGATATCAAGCATCGGTATTTTCTCATCCCAATCGTAATTCGTGGCGAGGAAGTGGGCGTGATACCGCAATGGATCACCCGGGTACACACTGTAATTGGCGCCAAAACGTAGACCGGGAGTCATGAAGTATCCTCTAGACTGCAAGTGGTGATGCAACGGCCCAGCGAGAGGTTGAGGCACTGTTTCCTCAACCTCACCCACGGGCAGGAGGAGACCTTCGCTAGTTGTCGGCGTGACCGCCAGGGACGGCTTGGCCTCTAAGTTATCGCGGGGCTTCAGGCTCTTATCTGGAACAGCACCTCCAAACAGAGAATCATCCACCTCGGGACTGGATTTTGGCTGCGCCGCGGCCGTCTTGGCGCTCTTGTTCCTCCGCGTCTGTTCTGTAGCTGCCTTCTTGGCCTGATCCTCTGCCAACAGCTTCTGCGCCTTGCTCCGACGTTCTTTCAATAGGGCAATGTAGGCGTGGCGGGTAGCCTTGTCCGGGGAGCGCAGGGACGACAGGTGATGCGAAGCCTCTTCGACGAGGCGGCCTACCTTGTTCTCGATGAGCACGCTGGCCTCCTCGGGCAGCAACTCCAGCGGCAGACTGAGAAACACGTTTTGTGTTGGGTTCTGCGGGGTCGTTCCCACCAGGACGGAGCAGATGTTGTGGCTGCGCCTGATTGTAGCCACATCTTCGGCATCAAAGACTAGGTAGCGATCTGCAATCTTGGAGATACGCACGGGAGGGACCGGAGGATCTTCCAGTACTGCTGCCATTGTTCTTGCCTCGGAGCTATTTGGGCCGGCCTTGCTTTTCCTGTATCTGAGAGAAGAATTGTTAGCGACTGCTTGAAGAGATTTGAATGCAAAACGCTAGTAACAGTGCTGAAAGCCACAAAATCATATCTCGTTAAAATGATAGTTTCGTCACAGAGTGTCAGTGGATTGACAGATTGATTGAGATTGGGTTGTTTAATCATTGAGCTTTGGGGGGGTTGGAAAAATGGGAGAAAACTCGTAAACTTACCCTGATGTGTGGTTGTCGGAGTCAAGAGAGGAACATAGCTTGAAAAATTCGTAGGATTGAGGTTTATGGAGCTGGCAGTGGTGGAGACGGGCGGTGAGGCAGAACCCCTTTGACTCTTAAGGCAGTGCTGTAATACTGTGTAGGTGTGTTGAATGCCCCGTAAGATAGCGTGGCGCTGTGGCTGTGCGTTTGCGCTCTTCAACGTCGAGTTGGTGAGGATTTGTAACCAGCTATCGACTTGCAAGATGCCGCAGCCCGCGTTTATTCAAACAATTTGACGGTATTCTAGATGATTTTGCCATGTTATTTTATTTGAGACTTCCATTTGTAGAGCAATTACCGCGTCAACGATCAAGCTCCTAAGGTACGGGTCTGGCGAACCTGTGTAATACAGCAGGGCATCCACCGGTGATCTTGGCCACATAGAATCGTGGGGAGGTTGAAACGGCCTCGTATCATTATACGCTCAACTCTCATACTTATGCATTCCGTTGAATAATCAAAAGTCTAGCTTCTCCGCCTTCTTCCCCTCTGCCTTGGCTCCCTGGCCCCCATCCCCTTCGTCCAACAAAGGCGGGAGAACATAAGGCTTCACAATGAGCCCACTTGAGCTGCTCATTCTGAAGGAAAGGTTCTCCCGCGAAGACTGGCCTTCTATTCCTCCTCCCCTCTCGTGGTAAACAGGGAGGCTATGCACCTTGAGCATACCTTGCACGACGTCTTCTGACTTGGTATTCGGCTCAACGTGCACTTTTCTCGGAAGGGGCAGCATCTCCAGCACTCCATCGCACAATAGCTCCATCCATCGTGTGAATCCTGTCGACCGCGGAAACAAGGAAGTAGAAAGCGAGATCATGGCCGTCAGGCTCCCTTCGTGCTGGCGCAGCAGTGCTCTCAGCTTGTGCAAGAACTGTAGGGCATCCGCCGGGCGGCAGATGGAGGAACCATAGAGCGCGGGCGACAGAAGGCTCGGCACTACAATACGATGAATAGTACCAGGCGGCGATGCCTTCAGCTTTGCAGAGACGTTGCTGATAAATGTGTCTAGAGGGGAAGAGCTGCCGGGTCCCGATGGCTGGAGCCAGCTCATGGCAGCAGTTGAAGGGGTCGCATGTATTTCGCCCTTGATGTCACTAGGCTGAAGGCGTTTTCCAAGGTCAAAGGAGTGACAGAAAACTTCAGCAGTCCCGGCTGGACCATTGTTGTTCGTCCCTGGAGAATTGATTATGTTAGATCAGTGTCCGTGGCCATTCAATGTTCCATGAGGTCAGGGAGAAACGTACTCGGACCGGCATTGTTGCCAAGACTCTCATATCTCCATGCAATTTTCATCTTCTCGTCTGACGCCGACGCCGATTTCTTCTTACTTGAGCCACTGGCTTTGCCAAGTCCCGGAAGCTCCCCTCTCCACGCATCCGTTGGGCCAAGCACGTGTACTTGCTGGCCCTGCACGAGACCCTCGGCAGCATAATATCTGAGCAGCACACCCGAGAAGTCCGTCGTTCCGGACTCCTCTACAAGAATACTATAGCCAAGCGGTAGCCCTGCATGTCCTGCCAGGAGCTGGTCTAGTGATGCCGTTCCGGTGGAGGTTGTAGGACGGCCGTCAAGGGGTGATGAACGAGTTCCCACCGGTGGTAGAGTTTCCTGCTTCGGTGCTATGGGCTCTCGTACAGGACCTCTGGTGGATGTTCCAAGGACGACGTTCTTCTTTCTAAATGACATGGTGCAAAGGGGTGTGCCAGGTGAACTTGATATACTGGGTCACAGATTCGCAACCATTCCTGCCTGAGAACCTGTAGCAGATTCTTGACGTGACCGAGTTTTTTTTTCTCCTGTCGCTGCGTCAGAAAAGGTTGCCCAAATCAATTACATGAAATTCTCACGGACGTAGAAGTAATTCCAACGTTGACTCACTGGCAGTATGTGTAAGATGGCAATTCAGATATCGCTTCCGATACTGCACTACTGGTATAAATCACTCACCAGCCAATGAGAATGAACTTTATGCACTCAGATACCTGACCTCGATATAGTCGAGAGCACCGTGGACAATGTGTTGCTAGTGAAGTAAGTAAGTGACCTGCAACTTAGTTACATCAAGTCCCCCTCCACTGAAGAGGGCAGGTGGGGGTTGGTTCGCTTACCTTAGGTACCTTACAAAAATTTAAGCCCCGCTGATCGCAGTCAGGTACCTGATTATGCTTCCTAACCCGACACGCCCCTCGTCCGATTGCACACTACACCGGTTAACTCAATTGCTCCTCGATTTTTTAATTTTTTTTAACCTTCCCAGCCGGAGCTTCACACGCCGCATCTTGAAAGCCACTTGCTGTCGCTCACGATCCTCAAGCCTTTGCGCCTCCGAACGGAAGACCTTGATATCTTTTCTCGTCCGACCCGACGACAACACCACGAACTACTCGTATCATTCACCTCGAAAAAGCACTCCAAAGTATACAACAATCATGTCTGGCAGCGGCGATGTCACCCTCTTCGAGGAGTCCTTCACGGTCACCAACTACGACCAGTCCAAATACGATAGAGTCGCCCGTATCTCGGCCACCTCGACCGACAACCAGACGCTCATGACCCTTGACATCAACGTTGAGCTGTTCCCCGCCTCCGTTTCCGACAGCCTGCACGTGGTTCTGGCGACCTCTCTGGCCCACGATGGCAGCAAGGACGACGAGAAGGGATGGCGGGACGTGACCAAGGGCAACCAGGACCGTGAGCCGTCATTGGCCGATATGTTCGACTATGTCTGCTACGGCAAGATCTACAAATTCGAAGATGCCGACGACGGTCAAACTATGTTCGTGTTCCCGCATTGAATTCAGTGCGCTGCGTAGAAGCTGACTGTGCTGTAATTATAGCAAGGCCTACGTCTCGTTCGGAGGCCTGTTGATGTCCCTCGAAGGCCCCTACAAGAAGCTGACCCCGCTGAGAGTCGACTACGTCTACCTTCTCATCAAGAAATGATTGAACAGACACTGGAACTTTTCGCAATGGGATTTTCAACGCTTACTCGCTCTATTCTGGCGCGCATAAAAGTGAGGCACTACAAAAGGCTGTACAGATGTTGTATGGCTCTACACATCAAGAGCATGGGCAACGGAGTTAAAGGCGTCAGGAAATTTTCTTGAAAGAGCAAGCCGGGATGCTCCTGATATCCCCCGGATCTCGAAACTTTGTCCCCGGCTCAAGGATCGATAGCCCCTAGGGACGGGTCCTGATTGTGCGGCCCAGGAAACGGCATTCGTCGGTGGATTCTTTGCACAATCTGATTGTACTCAGGCTCGTTTTCTCTAGTCAAGATACCCCGGCGGATAAAAAAGTCGAGAGCCACTAGCGCGCAATTTGGCTTCCATACGCCTTGTGCGAGTCCTTCGCGGACCTGCTCGACCGTAGACAGGCTGAACTCGGCGACTTCGCCGTCCTTTGGCTGCGGTACAACGTCTGCGGGTAGTTCGAGATCATAAATCCATTGAACTTCGGGATAGATCAGCCCTTCCTCGCCCGCCTCTGCCTCGGTGATGTAAATGTACGTGACACCGCCAACGAACTTGGTCTGATGGCGAACAATCTCTTCTGGCAGGCTGGCCTCCTCGTCTGCCTCGCGGATGACACACTCAAAGGGATCCTCTCCCGTCATAAGTCCGCCGGCAACGGTATTGTCCAGCATGCCGGGGAAGGTGGATTTGGTCGGAGAGCGACGCGGCACCCAGATCCTGATGCCGTGGCTCGCTGATGGGTCACGCACAAAGGCAGTCAAGTGAACACCGTATCTCATGACACCGAATAACCCCGAGGCGGCCCTCTCAATGTCGAAAAGGAGCTCGCCATTACGGCCATACACGGGCCACAGCTCGTCGCGCCAACCCCGGAGGATGGGAAAGGTGTCGTTGGCCCTCCAGTAGTCAGAGAGGTCCGCCGCCAGCTTGCTGCGGCTTTCTAACGTCGGCCCTTGGAAGGCTCTGAGAGTGCGCTTCTCCGAGTCGACTTGGACTTCCCCCTTGATGCTGTCGGGTACCTTGAGCAGCTCGGTCACCACCCTTGGCAGAACGTATCCGAGAGGTACGTCACCATGCTCATCTTTGAAAATGAGAGTGTACACCGACCCAAACGTCCCTGCGTGGGGTGCGTTTTCCTTGGGCTGCTTGTACGGATATCTGCATCCTGGGTCAGCTGCGGGGGCTCAGCCTCGGGGAGCAACATGCCCAGTGCCAGTGTTTCTCACGAGTCGACCTGGTCAATGAGATCAATGTTGGTAAAGGTCTCCATCTTGTTAGAATATGTTCTCTTGGTCGTCTTGAGAAGCAACTGAGCGATAATTCGGCCGGGAATGAATAACGATCGTAGCATAAATTACTGTATTCTGAAAGATGCGAGGTAGGCGTCGTCTAGAGTTGGGTGCCGCCGAACCTCGAAGCGACGGTGATATGCATATAAGTCTGACCCCGATGCCGGAAGTGACGTGTTTCCAGCAACAAGAACCAGCATCAAAACTTTGGACCCCTCGAGTCGGACTTCCCAATGGCAAGTGCAGAGTAAGGTACATTCGTCAACCGGATAGCGGATCCGATACAAGCATATGATTGGCTAGTGTCATCGAGGCTTCTCCCATCGTCTCGAGGCTTCCTCCACAACCTAATGCAGCTGCCCCTCCCCCCACCCTTCAGTACGCCAATAATTGTACTTGATCCGGTCCTTCTCACTTCATCGTCAGCCTCATTCTCGTAGAGTCCTCAAGCACTGAAGCCTAGGATTTGTTCTCCCTCAGAGAAGCTCCTCTTTCTGTACAATTACATTTGTGATCCTCCACTTTCGAAGCTTGTCTCTTTGATACACAGCCAACAAGCGAACTTGCTTCAAGGCCTCAAAACGACGTCTTAGCCCTTCCAACCAATCTTTTTGAGTCGTTCATGAGACGGCATTAAAAGGCCCTTCACGCTGTCCAAGAGCCACCTTTTAAGGCACTCTACCTCTACATCCACCACCATGTCCGGCCCTCTCTTCGGCATCGTCCCAGCCGGCCAGCCTCTGCTGACGGACCCAACATCGGCGCCCTCGGAAACCTCCTTCCTCTACTCCATCTCCGCCGCCAGACCCTTCTCCCACATCACAGTCATGCTCCTCCCGGGCATGGTTCTACCCCCCGACACCGCAGCCGCAATTTACTTCGCCACGGCCGCCGACGTCGCCGCTGCAACCGTAACGGGCCAGGCGCCAAACTTCAAGTTCCTCGGCGGCATCGGCACAGGCAAAGAAAGCGCCACGTTCAAACTCAACGCCGGCAGCAATGCCAACAACAACAACAACAACAACAACGGCGGCGACCCCAGCGTCATGATTGGCGTCTCGGTTGAGCCTGCCGAGTCTGTCTTCTCCCGCATCCAAGAGATCTCCGCCAACAAGGCCTCCTCCTCCAACAACGCTTCCCAGCCGTCCACGCAGCTTCTGGCGCAGAACATAATCAAAAACGCCTTCAACTTCCTCGCGAGCTTCAGCGGCACGGCCGGTCCCGGAGGCGTCGAGGTCGTCCCGCTCAAGGCATTTGAAGAGTGGTGGAAAAAGTTTGAAAGTCGCGTTCGGTCCGATCCGAGCTTCCTCGAAAGGCCGCAAGATTGAGGATACCCACCGCCATATACTCACATGTTCTTTTCATCTAGTTCATAGCACTCCTAATTTGATACCCGAATAGATGATTTCATTGTATCTATGTTCAAGACACGTAGACAAACCCGGTCTAGTTTTCATTGTCATCTGTTCGAAAAACTTGGTCTGGAAGGGACTGGCGATTCGGCGTTGTGCAACACCCAACGCAGAAAAGGAACAAACAAATTTGCGACAGCTCAATGCCATGCAATGCCTCCCAAAAAGAAAAGTGATCTCTCGTCTAAAGCGGCCCGATAACACTTCCCTTGTGATAAAACGCCGATAACTGCCTCCAATCCGAAAAGCCCATGGGGCCCTTGATGCTGGGCCACTCCACCATGCCTGAGGTAACGCCGTCTCCATAAGAATGAACAAGAAGAATAGAAAAACACGAGGTGAAATCCTCATCCACTCGCTAGCAGCCATGCATAATCTTACACTGCGTATAGCAGGCATCTCTGTCACTTAATCCTCATCCAAGGGCTTCATGAGCGGACTCTTCAGTCGTGTCGGACTACCAGCGCGACTGCGACGTCCTGCATTCACCAGACTCGGTACCAGTCTCTCTCTGCTCTCCGTTCTCACCGCCAAGCCACCACGGTCCATCGAAAAGGCTGGTCGAACGTCGTCAAATCGCTCAATGTTGAGCTTCGGGGTGGCAAGGCCGGAAGAATGGCCTGCCCTGGAGCCCTCGCTGCTGTCGGAGTGCTCGTTCTCATCAGAGTCGACAGAGCCTAGCTCGAACTGATCGGCATCGCCCTCTTCGAGAACTCGTTCGTAGGTTGCCGATGACCGTCCGAAAAGCTTGTTGGTGAATGAAAACCCTCGCCCGAACTTGCGAGGACTGCCCGGGCGTCTCGTTCCCCGAACGGCAGACGCAACCTTGCCGAACCATCGCGCTCGGCGGTCTCGCTTACGCAGGAAAAAGGCCAAGACAACCAAAACCAGGATGAAAGCCAGGACACCGGATCCAGATTTCGTCTTCGCCTTGTCCAGGAGCTCGTCGGCATCCCAGTCGTCATCGTCATCGTCACCTCCGATCGTTATGGGGGAGAACTTGGATCCTGCGGGCTCAAAGTCGGTCGCGCCGGCAACGTTGCTTCCGAAGCCAACCGGCTGGGCACTTCCTGCGGGAGGGACTTGGCCGGCTGCATACAGCACCATCTTGCCCAGGGTCCAGCTGACTTCAACGCCATCGATTTCGTTGACTGGCTGGAAGGGATCGACGAAACCCTTTTCCTTGGCTTCCTCCAGGGTTCCCTTTGTGACGTTGAGACCGGGCTGCGGCGTATGTTCGAGTCCCGGTCGCGGGATGCCGATTCCTTCGTAAAGAACATTGATGAGCCAGGACGCCTTGAAGCAGGCTTCCTGGGCGTTCTTTGCTTTCTGGGCAGAAGACTTCTTTCTCGCATCAATGCTGGACTCAATATCCACCCAGTTCTGCGTGCAAAAGTCCACCACGTTCTTCTGGTACGTTGCCAAGTCGTATGCCGTCTTGTGGCCCTTTCCGAATACTCCGTGGGTCGTGTGCCAAAACTCTGAGACACCTACAAAGTGATTCACGTCGAAATCAATGTTTGGTACGTGTTGGCCGTTGAGAAGGCAAGGCTCGTCTGTACACGGGGTATCCTTTCCGAGGAGAGGCTCGGTTTGGCGTAGGCATTCGTCAAATCGACCCGTGCCGAGTAGAGACAGTTCTTTGCCCACGGACTCGGCCTCGACAGGGTCGCCTTTGACGCTTGTTCGCAAGCCGGCCGGGAGACACGGATCCGGTAACTCGAGGTCGTTGGGCTTACCGTACTGTTCTTTGAGCTTGTCGATGTAACGCTCGCGGGCCTGGTTCGCGCCGTAGCCAAGCCAGGTGGCAGTGAAGACCCTGTGCTCAATGGTGCTGCCGTCCAGGGTGCGCAAGCGGACAAGCTTGAGATCGTCGGCATGTCTCTCAGCTTCTGTGCTGTTTGGTGCGAATGCAATCTGCGCCGAGGCACCTCCCATGTCTAGGAAGCCGTACGTGTGGTGGCCTTTACCGTGCGTGTGCTTGTCGGGGTGGTCAAAACCACCAAGCAAATAGTTTGTGGCGAGCCAGCCGTACAGACCCTCTGTCTCCCCAGAGATTACCTGAATATTGGTATTGCAGTCGGGTAGCGAGAATCGCGTATTTTGTTGTAGGTAGGAGCACATGTTGCGGAGAAGGGCCTTTTGTTGATGGTCGGGAAGGAGACGCATGCCCGCCGTGGCCATGAGGTAGACGGGCGTATCGGCAACCTTCTTATCGGGAACCTCCTTGAGGGCCAAGTTAATCAGGGACTCCAGGTGTCCATGGCCAATCTCTTCTGGCTTCTCGGCAAAGGAGGACACGCCGGGACGAATCTTCTCGCTCGTCTGCAGCTTGATCTTGGGCAGACTGTGGAGCTCTTCCACGGTGGCATGCTTTATGGCTTTGGCATGGTCTTTCCACTTGTAGACGTACAGACGTGTCCCTGAGGAACCAGCGTCAAAGATGATTCCATATCGCCCTGTTGGTGAGCACTTGAGTCAGCTGGTTGCACAGTATCTTGCGAGACGCGACACATTCAATGAGCGTACATTTTTTTCCCATGAGGAGCAGCTGGCGCAGTCAAGCTGCGGGTTCTTGTTGCAGGGTTGATGTAGGTCGGTTGTAGAAGGGGGGAGACGTGGCGGAATTATTGCATGGGCGAGGGGGCCGATGACAGAGGAAGCTATCGAGGTCGAATAAGCGTCGTGGTGGTACGGCGCCTCGAGACTCGTTCGTTTGATCGATTCGAGTCACTTGTTTGTTCTTTTGAGATTTGCTCCCTCGTGGATCAAGGTCGAAGAATTTCGAAAACGCCTACAACAAGGCTAGTCGCAATCGAGGATCGTCGTTTGTCGCGGCGAGGTGGGCAAAGATCGCGTGGAGGACGATAGGTGTGTCGGCGACGGGTTGGGTAAATTGAAAAACAATTGGGTAGTCGCAAATGTAGGGCGAAGCGGCAGAAAATTGATTTCAAAAGAGGTTTGTCGTCTAATATTGATTCAAGCGAGCGTCGGTCATCCTGGAGATTGGACAGGAGAGATTGGAGAACGAAGGTTGGCAATTGATTGCTCGATAGATTACCGGCGTCAGGGGAATAAACGGCCAAGGCTAATGGGAGGGACGGGGAGAGAAAAGAAGTCTGGAGACGTGGTTCTACTGCGTACATAGGACTCGGGGGTGGGACTCTGGAGTGGAGGGAGCTGATGGAGACGCAGACGCACTGGCGGTAGGTGAGTGGGTGAACAGACACAGGCAAACGGAGACGACGACGGGAGACGGAGACAGGGGGGTGTGGCTCGTGTTGGGGCCTGGGCTGGCACGCCTTGGTATAAGTTGGTCCCTCTGGGAATGGGATTACTGAGGTGACAGGGTGGCAGAATGACGGGACAGGGTTGCATTCAGCCAGAGCTTACGCACCCACGCACTGTAATGGAAGGTACCTTAGGTCGTTTTGTTATCTCATGTCTTATCGGCGAACAAAAAATTATGGACAACCAATGGCAGGCGGAGGCTAAAGCAAGTCTCCACACTGTGTCGAGCACTTGCTCAAGTACCTTGCCTATCTCGGAGGAGTAAGGTAAGGTAGCCAAGGTGCCTCAGTGCCTGCAAGCTGCGTACAGTACATACAGACTGCAGAGTAATTAGTGGCTGGCTACCCTTTTCACCACTACCTTAGTCCTGAGGTAAGGTGGTGAGGTGACGGGAGCTGTCTGGCTGTGTGTGTCTGCGCCGGTCTCGACTTCAAACGAGGGAGTGCGTAACCGTCTGATTGTTGGCCATGATTGGTGTCCTCGGGGGAACGTGCCTTTTCCCCTCGACTGCCGGATACAGTCGCCCAGGACTACACAGTACCTACCTACAAGTACTGTCAGTGAAAGGTTAGACGGAAATGCTCTCGGGGGGTTCTGCATCTCGATGTACGGAATAGGTACCTTACTTGTGCGGTAACCACGGTGCCAACTGCCAAGGTGCCTTATCTTGCGCGTCCTCCCTTGATCATCGCCCAGAGCTGTATGCAGATACACTAGAGGTTTCTTACTGATGGGGACCATCAAATCGCGGGCCTTCGACTTTATCCCTCACTTCCTCCTCCCTCGACTCAAGGACCGTGCCGGCGCGTGCATCAACTAATGGAAGGAAAAGAAGCCTCGGAAGAATTGGGGGACCACACCAGCACCAAGCACTAAGGTAATCCAGCGCGGTGCGCCACTGTGCTGATGCAGGTGCAGGTGCAGTGTGAGGCCACAGGGCAATTGGCAATCGCCGGTCGGGGGTGCCGTGGTCCCTTACTCGCCATCGTCGCCTCCCTCTGGCCCGTGCACCGTGAGAATTCTTCGGATTGCTCACTGGGCTGGCTGGTGGGCCCACTGCCTAGCAGACATACACCCCTGTCGTCGGACTGCAGAACTTGGTTGGACCCCTGACTTGGCGTGTCAGATTGGCCAGACGGGAATGCCACGGCGTGACTGCGGAGCACACTGTGCTCGCCGCGTACACTAAGGTACTTGTACGGACACTTCAAACCTTGGTTTGCGGAATTTGGAAAGCTCCTCCTTCTGCAACCGTCGTTCCCAGCGCCCCACGGTTCCAAACTCTATGCTTACCTCATCACATGTCCACCAAGTGCAAGAGATATATTTATCCCCCGCCACCAGTCTCGCTCGCTCCTCACTGTACCTACATTACCTACCTTTACCTCACCTAACTAGTCCTGTGAAGAAGTGGAGGTACCTCAAGGTATGCAGATGCAGGGCACAGTGCACCAGGACAGTGCCAAGGGATGCATGCAGGTCGTCACGCAACTAATAAACTAACCTGCCCACGGTTACAACGAGGATTGCCCCGGTCTGCTATCGCAACTTTGGCCCAAGGTAATTCCTTATTCTCTTCTCTTCTCTTTCTTTTCCCATCTTAGAATTGGTACACAATCTAATAATCCACATTGTCTGCGAAGTACGGATACACTCGCTGTAAATGTATGGCAACTTGTCTCTAAACCGCCGCCCGTGTGTCAAGTCGAGACTTTCTTCCTTCCTCCTGCCATTCGCTTTCTTTCTTATTCTTCTTGATTTCCCAAAGGATTGATCCATGAGCCCCCGAGTGTCCGTCCCCTAGAACAGTATGGCTCCGTACCAAGCACAATATTTTGGACAGACTATTCTTCTACTTTGGGTTGCATGAGGCTCTCCTCCAAGTCCAAGTCAAATACCGTATCACTTCTGCTTGCAAGGTGCAGCGCATCGACCCACCCCCGCTCCCAATGATATCACGCTGTGCTTAACCTCCCATCTTATAGCCTTCTTTCGTCTCATCATCCCGTCTGCTCTCCCAGCATCACCAACTGTCCTTGGATTTGTCCTCGTTCCCGCCCGCTTTGATATCTGAAACCACCGAGCGCCAATGTTGAGCACCAACGTCATACGCCATCGTCCGGGGCTGCAGCAAATGGCATCTGCCCTCCCGCCGCGCATCATCCTTCGCTTCCCTTCCCCCTCACACACTGTCAACGCTCGTCCTGCCTTTCACCTGTCCTCCAGATGGGATGACTCCCCAACGCCTCCCATTGCAATCCCAGCTTGCGCGTATCCTGTGGCCCGGATCCCAGCTCCGGGAGAACAGGCAACACGCTATAAACCAAGGCTGTTTGACTGCTGTTGATGTGCACCGGTGACGAAACTACTAGTCGAGGCTTCTTCTGTCTTCGTGCTTCCAGGCTGTGTCTCCTCCCTTTGCACTGTCGCCACCACTGCACCGATCGTTGCGCTGCTGCATGCAGCCATTCGCCGCCTAACATTTGGCTGTTTCTGCCGCTCTGGGCGCGAGGCCTGTTGAACTTTCGCAGCCTCTTCCGTTTCTTCGGCATAGTCTTGGGACTCTCTTGGCCAGTTTTGATGTAACGCTCTTCACCCACACGCGACAACAACGATGTTGAGCTGGATCTCTTGATAGACCTTGTTCGGCCGAATCGTGGCATAACAGCGTATCAAGTTCTCGTTGGCAGGCTTACCAAACTCAAATCGACTAAAGACAAGGCTGATGCGCGTATATCAACTACCAAGGGACTGCTAAATGCAAGACCGGTAACATTACGGCTCCTGATATAAGTCACATCTTCGTACCCAAAGGCTGTTGTTTCTTCTGCCACAACTCGTGGCCCATCCTCGAACAAGGTCCCGCCCTTGTTTCAAACTCTTGAACAAGAGTTTAGGTCAAAGAAAAATACGCGGGCCATCCTTCGTCTATATTCTTTCTGCGACTTCTCCATCCATTGTCCTCTCAAAACACGCGCCGCGTGAACAAAGGCGTCTGTTCTCGAAGAGGACGGTCATGACCTAGGTCACGGGTCCACCAAATGGCCGAATGCTGCGGGAGCAAGGCCTGGACGTTTGACTACTGTCCCAAATCGTTAGTGGCGATGCTCTAGAGGCCAAGGCCGGAAGAAATACCATAGGGATATGGCTCGGTGTCGTTGCGTCCTGTAGAGCCATAACTACCGTGACTAGTATGACCAGTCCGGATTCCGGAAGAGAGACCAACTCCAAGGCCCCGTCCACGCGAAATAGGCGGGTGTCTTGCAAGTGGGAGATTTCCCGAAGGACCGCGAGGCATTGGTGTTCCCGTACCCGTACCCAGCCCGGATGCAGTCGATAGCCCGAACCTCTCATGGCTGTCACTGCCATGTCCTCGGGGCGTACCTCGTGGGGTGCTCACGAAGCCGCCTGCACATTTGGTCAGTGTGCAGTTTCGTCGCATGTTAACAGTATCCGGCGTACCTTGCGCAGGTCCCGGTTTTGACCAAGCTCTGTCGTCCCGCAAGGGCGCAGAACCTCCTCCGCCAGTAAGGGGTCGTCGATGTCCCCTTTCCGGCCCGACGTAGGAATGCGCATCATTGTACGCAGACTGCGACTGCTGTTCGTAAATATTTTGCCTCGCTGCAGATTCAGGAAACTCGAAGGCCGGTAACTGTGTGCCATATTGGAGGTTGGAGTCAACCGCATCCGAGGCGGCAGCCTCCATCTGTCCCAACTCAGCTTTTCGCTTGACCTTGTCGTAGAGCTCCTGGACTTGTGTGAGCTTGCGACACTTGTCTTGATAGGAACGCGCAAGTTCCTCGTGTTTCCGTCGCATGTCGTCGTAGTCATCTGAAAGAGCTACTCAATATTAGCAAACTTGTCTGTGACCTTGGAGAGCGGCTACGCCGTTTTTTCGTACCTCGCATCTTTTCCTGGAGACCTGAAATGTCGGCATTCGCATCACCCACCGTCTTTTCGAACTTGACGTTCAGGGTTTTGAGCTTCTCCGTCAGTGTCTTCTCGAGATAGCGCTGGTATATACTGCGCTAGGTAAGTGGCCATTGCTGAAGGATATTTGGCAAGGGGTCAGCTCACACTTCTTGGGTTGTCTGGTAGGCCCAAAAGCTCAAGGCCCTACCTGCACATTCCATGATTATGTTGGGGCTTAGCCCGCTGAGAACGCTGGTTTTGTAGTCTTCGGTCAGGTTCAAGTTGGTCACCACGGCATCGTCTGGATTGTTGAGCTGGCATTCGCAAGCCGGGCACGACTTGCGGCGATCCCGAGCTTGGCCTGTCAAGCCATGGCGCTTAGAGCATTCTACACAGAATATGTGGCTACACGGGTTTGTTTAGCTCACGGCCTCTTGATTCTGCTGAGGACATCTTACTCACCTGCACGTGGTAACCAAGGCCTGGTCACTGAGCTCTTTTCGACACTTGAGAACGTTGCATTTGAGAGTATGCTCCATGGCGAGCGATGATGCTAGCCGTTGACTTCAAGGCAACTTGGAGGACATGCGATGTTCATGGAGCTCGATGCTGGTCTGGTTTTGGACGCCGTGATGTATCGAGTAGTTATTTCGAAGGCGATGCTTACCAACAAAAGTGTGTACGTTCGCAATTCGCTCGCAAAAGGCTGGTACTAGAGGCTCATGATCAATTGAATCTCGAATCTTTCTCGATAAGGAACTCCCCATAGGTGAAAGGCATCTGTAGTTCAAGGGCGTTCGAGAGAAGAACGGGGGCCATTGTTGCGGGTAAAGAATCCCATGGAGGCCGGACGTAGCCTTCTTGGTGTACTTTCCTCACCCAAGCTACTCAGGACACTGCGCTGATCTATGTTTCTCCGCGTGCGCAAACTACCTACCTTAATAGGTGAGATCCACCCTCATAATAAGTACCTTGAGGTGAGAAGGTTCCTACCACTTTGGGCTGGTAAGCAGCTGCCTCAGTCAAGGTACCCATCTTCATTTTGTGCAGGCACGTACCGAGTGCCTACCCTAAAGCATGGCCTTGTCAAGATGCTCCTGCCTCATCCTCCATCGAGGAAAGATCAGTAGATGCTTCATGGGCGTGATCCTCCCAATAGATGGGGGGACTTGGTGACACATTAAAATGAGATGCCTAGCTCAACGTCGCTTGAACTCACTTTACCTCACTACCTTATGCTCTCAACGAGATGGAAACAACGGCGCCTATGTCTTGGTTCTTAGCAAATATCGCTGCGAATGGGAGGCCGATGCTCTGGTTTTCGAAGCTGATGAAAGCTTCAAGAAAGTCGGCTGCCGGAGCCGGTGGGAGACCCAGCCCGACTGCACCGGAGTGGGGCGCATCCCAACGGCCCCCAATCCCCGCAGTGCGGTTCGTCTCGTCGCGGTCTATCGGCCGGGTTTGGGTGACCCACAGTTAACCGGCTCAGCGGGGCCGGCACTTTTCGCCGCTGTGGCCGTGTCGATGATGAGACATGCATGAAGCAGTGTCCTGCTTCGCTTTCTACTTCGTCTAACTACCGGCAGCTCAGCGGCCCCCAAAAAGTTTCAACAATACTTCGAGGGGTCCGAGGGAACAAGATTGAGCCTCGGTATTTTTTCGCAAATTCCAACCACAGCTTGACCCGGTGGTCGCATCGCCTGCTGGAGGCATGACTCGTATGCCTCGTCGCATCCCATCGACCGAGGCTATTGGCACGCCGGTGCCATCGGGAAAATAGGCCCGGTGTCAAGAGATGGGCAAAGCCTTATTCGTGGTGGGATGGCCGAGTCACATCGTGTCCTAGCGCCTTAGCATAAGTCTCTCGGCTCAATTGGCAAAGAACACTAGTCACTGGGAGTCTAGAATCCAGAAGAAGGCAACATCCTGGCCTACCATGTACCACCGCAACCCTTGTGTATAGTCTTCAAGTAATAGCACACAAACGCTACAGAAACGAGAGTCGCGGCAACTAGACTCAGAGTGCAATGTCAAGTGTCATTGTGTACGACCTCAAGATACGGAGTATTTCTTGATGAATTGCTGTGGAGTAGTGTTAAAGAATGACTGGGTTCGGCATCTGTTATGACGGGCGTCGGGCATCTTTCTCGACGCCACGCACCCGCAGAAGCCCCTTGTTAAGTACTTCAACCTATAACGAGACTCATTTGAGCAAAAAAAAAAAAAAAAAAAAGCCCGTACAGCGACTATCGCGTCTGAGCATCATTGAGCTCGACGGCCTCCTTCCCAGTGAGTTGTTCCTGGCATTCTCTAGCAAACAAGACATTTGCTTCAAGCATCGTGTAGATGCACGTATTCACGTCTCTACCCGTGCCTAATAGTGAGACATGGCTAGTCCTCAAAAAAAGAATAGGGGCAATGCTCCTCGCGCACTATAAGGCTCTTCACGTTCTTCACGTTGGAAATGCCCTCCCAGTAGCGTGGCATCTCGCTAAATACCCAATACTGTCTCGTTTCCCCTGGACAGACGATGAGCACCGTGGCGGTCAGGGTCTCTGCCGATCGTCTGAACTGCCAAAATACCGTAGAATCGTTGTGTGGCGTAGCAGGCAAGGTACGGCGAGGAATACACTAAAAGAAAGAGAGAGACATGTGAGGCGCCAGAGGGTAGGGGGAAGGGGCGGCAGAGAAGTCAGAAGAACCAGGACTAGAACAAGGATCATGGGATGATTCTAGATGTGTGGGGTGCGTGGCGTCTATGAGGGGGAGTACAGAACAGGGGTAGCACTGCTCTCTGCGGGCCGACATCCCAGAGAGCCCATCCTTGACACCTCCACCAACACATTTACCCGCCCAATCGCAACTCGGGTCCTCTCGGATTTCTGCGCGTTCATCCTAGCCTGGTTTACCTTACCTCGGACCATGGAAACCTCGCTCAACCTCAATCTCTCCAGCTCTAACCTCTACCTGAACCCAAGCTTCTCTTTGGGGAATGGGGAGCATGACGCTAAGAGAAACGGTCACCTTTGACGAACCATCCTGCCCCGATCCGACCACTCACCTCCCAGCGAGCCTCGTCCCGGCCGACGCCATGGCATGATCGTCCGCTCTCCCGATCGCGACGTTATGCTTGAAGTGAATAACAAAAGGCCCCCCTCCCCCCCGATGTGCCTTGTAATATTTGTGCAACCCGAGGTAAGGTACACTTGCGCTATGTGTTGTTCAGGGGTAGGTGAAGCTCCTGCTGTTCGTCTGCAGACTTACAATTCGCTGATACTTTTGAGCATACCGTCATATGGAACAACCTCCCGCTTCTCAAGGACGGAGAGGTGAAATAGCGTTCCATGACTTCGCGGTACATAAGACCCTGCACACCACTCGCATCCAAGGCCTCTTTAAAGTCATGTGCCTGCCATGGCCGCAGCAAGACGTAAAGTTATGCGGCCAAGCAGGGACTCATTAGGATCGTAGGACCGACCGACGATACCCAATTTCGCCTTGCCGGCAGTCCAGAGTAGCTCCTTGCATGGCAAAAACACACGTGGCCAATGTCATCGTTGCCAACGGCAGGCGGGCGGGCGAGCCCGGGGTTAGATTGAGCTTCAGGCTGTCTCTCGTCACAATTTGTCTTCTTTCTTTCTGGGGTCTCATTTGATTGCAGGTCATACGTAAAATCGTCAGCGTCATTTCGGGGCGTTTCCAATAATCTTCGCCGCCATCATGTCCCGTTTTCCATGCCTTCAGGCGCGCCCGCCACCCTCCCCTTTCCTTCCTTTTTTGCCCCGTCAGCGTGACTGGCGTACGTTCCAAGAAACTCCGAGCACGGTTTGGCTCACCCCTTAGGACATGCGAGCTTATGTACAGCATCTCTGGCTTCGGCTATAATGCCCTCTGCCAAGTGTCCTAATCCCAGCAACAGGATCCAAGTATGTACCAGAAAAGAGAGAAGATATGTGCCAGAAAAACAAAGCCAGAACAAAATCCCCAACGTGACACATCAGTGGACAAAGAAGCCGCCCTCCATGCCTGCTACCTGGCTGCCCATCATACCATAGTCCATGTGCATCATATGCTCGTTGACGTTGTACGGGGAAAAGTCAACGGCCTGGTCAGGACCCTGGCCCCAATACATGCCGTCCATATCCCATAGTCCGTGCTGATCGAGCATGCCCATCATGCCCATCCCTTCCGGCTCCAGGCCGATGGGTGACATGTGCAGCTCCGCCTCCGCCATCAGCATCCCTTGCTCCCCCGTCAACCCTTGCAGAGGGCTCTCTGACCGCATCGACGGCTGTCGAGAGGCTTCGTACATTCGCCACACGACCTCTCGGCTACGCTTCGCCGCCAATGACCAGTCCTCCATGGCCTCCAGCAAGTCGAGGATCGTCTCGATCTGCTGGTGCCAGTCGGCCACGCGCGGACTATTCCATTCCCAGAACGTGCTGACCAGCGGGATCATGGCCGCCTGGTAGAGGAACCACACAGCGTTCCATCCAGACATTTGGTTGCGAGTCCATTCCCGGGCAATGTCCTCAATGGTCTGCTTCGCGAGCTCGCGGCACGTCTCAATGGCCGCGACGTCCTGCTCGGCCACGTGAGACAGCGAGCCGTTGCTAGCCAGGCTCAGGAGTACGGGTCGGTGTAGGAGCATCCGCAGGTTCTGGTATCGCCACTTCATGATGCAACGGGCAATGTACAACGGCTCCGCGCAGGGGTCCGTCGTCCTCAGGAGCCACGGTAGACTGCTGTACCAGTTGACCAGCTGCCCGTCGAGGTTGCAGCGGTCATCTGCGCGGAGGAGGGGCGAAATGGCCAACAGGTCCTGGATCTGCGTGGCAATCTTGCAGAACTTGATGTTCTCGATGAGGGGCAAGATGCCGGCGTGCTGCGCAGAGTCCCGGCCCTGGTTGATTCCAAACTCTGGCGGCCGGATGTTAATGGCAGGGCCCCATCGGCCGAATGAGGGTCGTCCCATGGTTGTTGTTGCCCATGTGTCGAGGCAGAAGAGACTCCACCACGTACGGCGTCGGGTCTCGGCGGCGGCAATGTCGCTCGACCCTTGCGCCAGGCTCTCTCTGTGAAGACCGAGGGCGCTCGCCATTCTAATGGCCGCGCCGAGGACGGCGTTGGCCATGTTGGGTCTATTGATGTAGTGCAGATAGTACCCTCCAATCAGCGCGAGGGCCTGCACCATCTCGATATGGCTACTGCCAAAGGCGTCCATGGGCAGATGCTCCATGGCCCTGTTATAGTAGTTGATGTGGTTGTAATCGTCCGACTTCATGGCGACGATGCTGCCCATGGCAAAAACCATGTTCAGCAATGCTAGCCAGGGGGCATCGAAACGCTGGCCTTCCAGATAGTCGGCTCGGAAAGCGGCCTCGTCCAGCATGGGAACGAAGACGTGAATGCGCTTGAAGTAAGCGTCAATGAGCGTCTGACCCTTCCATGACCACGGGATGCGCTGGGTATCCTTGGGCACAGCGCTTCTTTGTCGCATGGATGGGAAGCTGTGTGTGACCTCGGCGCTTTGGAGCGG